CAAGTTAAAACTTTGACTTTTAAAATTTTAAAAGTCAAACGTAAAGCTATAGTTTTGTACGTTGGCTCCGATACCACTGAAAGGTAACCATGCAAGGATAGGCAACGGAATATAAAAATTTTAACATCCTAACATGATTATCTTGCCCAGAATCACGTACTAAAACTTATAGTGAATAAGAAATTTATACCTTTCTCCGTAAGCGGTAAAAACGAAGAAGTCGGAGGAAGAGCGTTGAAAGTGCAAACGTAACCGTTCAAGCATCCGGTCTCCAACTTTGACACACGAACAACGCCGGAGTCTACCACAATCTTTATGCTAGTAAAGATTATAGTAGTATAAAATATAAAGATTAAAATTGGGATAATAATAATCTTGTATATTTCTATAGAAAATATTTCCAATAATATTTAAAAATATTATAGATATTTTCTATACACAAAATGATATATGTGGAACCAAAATAATATTTTCTCTTTCTAAAATAATAGTGGCCGAATGACACACTACACCTTAAATAAGTGGAATGGTGTGTAGTATATTTAAGGAGAAAAAGTGATTATTAATTTGACTTTGTCATTAACAAAATGACAAAATAGTTAGCTTCACTCAATTATCAATCAAGGAAATTTTTGTTCCTTTAAAAGATATCATGGCCGAAAAATCATGTGAGAAGGATTTGTAAAATTCTTCTCCACTTAAATGTTCAAAGTGTATTTTATTTGACACCAAAAATTAATATGAAAATTAATTTTAAATCAAATAAAATATCAATATCATTTTAAACAAGTATACAAATATACTTTAAATAGTTTATGTCAAATTAATTATTTTCATAATTAAAATGACAAATCAAAATAAAATATTCAACATATAATATATATATATATATACTTCGGTATTTATATATAAAATATATATATATGACCGAATATTTATATATATTATTATATTCCAAAATATTTTATTTTACTATTTTACAAATATACAAATTACTTATTATCCCATTGTTTAATCCTACTCCTTAAATTGTCCAAAGTGTGTGACCCGTATAGGCACTTATAAAGCTGGCCACAGTATTGGCTCTGCACCAATACTATAAGCAANATTAACGATATCCCACTCTCGTTAATACTCGACTATGGACATTTAGATAAATATTTATTTCAAGATGTTAGTCTCATCAGCAGAATAACACTATCTGATAAACATCTTTAAATATATATCTAGGAATATAATATTTGTTTACATTAGCATGAGATGTGTAAACATATTATATCTGCCTATAGATGATAGAATAATGATAAACAGTTGGCCATCAGGGCACAACTCCAACATAATGTCCCTAGTGTAAGAACATGTATAGAAGAGATGGTTTTTGTCTTCTTCACCATTAGAGCATAATACATAGTTAATGTCTATCTCCATGAACCTACTCAATCTAACTTTGGTGTTAATTATGTTTCTCCATCCAAGCCAAAGCAAGAATATTTCTTTCACTTCTTTTGAGTGTCATTGAATGCATAAAATATTTCCACAAAAAACCTCTTGTGCGTAGGATGTACCTTGGTGATGGGAATCCCTAGTGGGGCTGAGGTTGATCTCTAGAGTGCAAAAAGGTTCCAAAACGAATTCTTCTGTGATGGATTGTTAGTTATGCTTGTAATTGATTTCTCTAATGCTGGTAGCCTTTGATAGTCTCAATGCCCGTTCATCTCCCTATGGTTGAATCGACAAGGTTATTTTTCAGCGACGATCATATTTCGTCTACCATCGGCCGAAGATTTTTCTACAGATTTTGCGGCTTTGAGGGCACAATCTTAAAGAATGTGGTATTGTCGGATTAGATTCTAATTTTAGATGTGGATTGGATTACTTATATAAGTCCCTTCCAAATTTCAAACTTGGGGGTTTCTCTAGTAAGGACACCACCCCTTAAAGTCAATGATACGTTGGCGAATGCTTCATTTAATTGAACTGTTTAGAGTTTAGGAGAGATGTTTGATCTATGTGTCTAGCCCCCTCCCCCGTAATCCAATGCTCAAGATTTCTTGACAATCATCCCCATTGAAAGGCTCGACCAATACAATTCAACTCTAGAGTACCCGACAATTCTTAAGTACCAATTATTGATCCCACTATTTATAGTTGATAAGCCCTACCAGTTTGCCACAAGGTTTGCTTGGATAGCTTTGGTGAGCATGCGATCCATTATAAGGAGTTACTTGAGATTAATTACATGCATGATTTTATTAGGAATGCTTTATGTGATGTTCTAAAGCGGGAAGAAACTTTGGCTAAGAAGGAGGCTCTAGTGAGCTTTATCCGCTTGAAGAGAGATCTACTATACGGCTAGCCGATATTTTGTGTTTGAGTGGGGTCGGGGGAACACGTTTGTATGGACTTTATAGGTGCGTCCCCTCTAATTGGACTCGTGGATAATGAGTTTATTGCTAGCCAGACAATTTTTAAGGCAAAATCAAGCAAAGTGACAAAACACGAGAAATATGGGCCAGGGTCCGTAGCAGCATCCTTGCTTAGGCACCTTAAGATGGGCCAGGGTCTGCAGCAGCATCTTTGTATTTTTTTCGAGGTAAATGTGAGATAAAAAACACTTCCTTCGTTCTCAAAAATACTTTCTCTTTTATTTTTTCCACTTTCAACAAAACATTTCCATTTTCTATTAAAAAACCACGTTTACCCTTACCTTTCCATGCCCTACCTATCGCATCATACTTTTTCTTTAATAATCTATCTATCACATCTTACTTTTACCCATCACATCAAGAACAAAATTGGAAGTCAGTTACAATTTAATACTTTGCTATTTTTACACTTGGTCTAACTGGAAACCTTTTTTTTTGGAACGAAGGGAGTAACAAACTTCATGAGAAATAATCATTCAAGTAATTAAAATGAAAACTTTGAAAATGGGGAAAGTGTTTTACAGAGCATAACATATCTTAGTTTAATATGATATTTTAAATACTTTATTTTCAGATTATATTCAAACAATTACAAATGATTAATGAGCTAAACACTTTTTTGGTACATCTAGCTACGTTTTAAATTTTTGCTTTTTTTAAGCTTACATTTTCTCAAATTTTTTGCACATATAAGAATCAATTAAATAGACAATCCTACTTGATATTCCCTCCGTCCTAAAACTTTCTTCCCATAGCACTATTCCAACTTCACGTGAATTTATATTTATTTGTGTTTTTTCATGGCCTATATGATAAAATAAAATATTCTTGTCACCACTTGTTTTGTTGAACTTTTGATGTAGTTTTTTCAAAATGTATGTTTTATTTTTTATTTCTATACCAATATTTAAATAAAATAGATTGAAAAAACTTGGGATTTTTTTTCATTTTGCGCAACGAGAAGAAAGTTTTAGGACGGAGGGAGTACAAAGTAAGAATAAAGTAGAGCAAATAAACTTTAAAACTAACAAAATAAAAAAACATAAGCATAGTTTTTAGACCTAAAAGGCAAATGATGCAATTTATTAGAAAAAGAAAGTCACATACTTAAATGCTGGATCGAGAGGCAGTTGGTCAAAATTATAATTAAATATAATTTTCTCACATTTTTTTTTGGTAAAAATGCGCACAAATTCAAACTAGATTAAATAATTTAGACGGAAGAAGAATAAAAATATAATTTTCTCACATTTTTTGGTAAGGACCATGCTAGGGTGCCAGTGCCACCACATGGGTGCTACCATGAGTGCACTCATGCTTCGCACAGACAAACACAGACGATAATTGTCTGTGACAATTATCGTCTGTGTTTATCTGTGAAAAGCATAAATGCACTCATGATAGCACTCATGTGGTGGCATCCTAGCATTTTCCTCCTTGTAAAAATGCGCACAAATTTTGAAGAGAGAATGTTTCTTGTTTGTTTTACGGTGGTTAGGAGCTACTGGACCACACTGCAACCCACCTTTTCTACAGCTGGCTTTCAGCCTTGAATTTTGTTGGGTTTTTATTTTTCCTGAAAAAGGGCTGACGAGTAACTTTCAAGAAACATTAATTCATGCAAATGCACATTTAACGACGCACTTTCTTTATCCTCTCCAAAAAAAAATACTCCTTCCCTTCCAAAATATTTACAACATTTGTTATTTTAGCAGTTGCAGGAACTTTTGTTTATTTCTTTGTTTTCATTGTTTATTTGATAAAATAAAATATTCTTGACACCTCTTATTTCGAAGAACTTTTCATGTAGCTTTTTTATATGTCAATTTTATTTTTAAATCCTATACCAATATGTAAATAAAATGAATTGAAAAAACTTGATATTTTACCTCGGGAATACAAATGTGGCAAATATTTAAGGACAGAGGGAGTACTTTTTTTAAAAGAAAATCTCTACGCGTCTCTCTCGAAACTGATAAGACGATTACCCGAAAGAAAGTAAATTGAATTAAATCGAACTGACAAAGAGTGTAATCCGCAAAATGTCCTTTTTAAATTTTTTATACGGAGTATCAATCATGCTATGGGTATACCAAAAAATGTACCTTAAAGAAAAAAAAAATTGACATTTTTATGGTTTACACTGACATAAAATGTTAGTGTGATAAAAATAAATGTAATGATATTTTGTGTCATTGTAAACTATTACACTAGCATAAAATGTTAATACATGCCTCTAGCCCTCTATCCTCTGGAGTATAAAGTGGAATATAATTTTTGAAATATAAATAGTTTAATTCTTTTTATACTCCCTCCATCTACAAATAAACTTCCCGTTCACTATTCACATTGTCAAACTTTATTCATTTTGTTGGTCTATTTTCGTCACACATTTGATAAAATAATATAGACATGTCCCATATAATTTTATAGATCTTTTGATATAACTTTTTAATATGTAATTTTTATTTTTAAATTTTACACAATTTTTCATATAAAATGATTTGAAAAAAATAATTTCAGTTAAACATCATAACGCATAACGAGAAGTTTATTTGTAGAAGATTACCTCCAATACACGGGGTATATAAGCTTGCTTTTGTCAGCTACTCAGCTAGGAAATACACTAGAAAGGACGAAGAGAGAGAGTAAAGGGGGAAAAAGTCCATAGTAGTGGTCATAAACAGAGAGTTATTGAGTTTGTTCAATCACCCACACTGGTTCAGAGAAAAAAAACCCACCTTTTATCTTCTTCCTGTTCTTTGAACGAAGGAGATCAAGAATCATATCAAGGAAGTGAAACTTACAGGAAGATTCGTCACATCTCCCTTTCTATATATCCATATATGTCTATATAAATATATGTATATATTTGCTGAAGGGTCTATTATGGAAAGTGGGTGTTTGATGAATTTATAGATCTAACCCTTTGAGAAAGGAGTGGGCTTGCCAAGTTTGATTCAGATCTCAATCCTTTTTCAGCTAGCAAGGTTCTGTAGTTGACTACAATACTGTGAGTCTTCTTGCCTTTCTATATTTTAACATTTTAAGTACCTGTTTCATGTTTGTCTGTATTCTATTGCTGGTTCTGTGACTTTTTTTTCTTCTTTTCTTTGTTGTTTTTTTTTCCTTGGTGGGGTTTGATTGTGTGGACTTTGAATTGACTTGTTCTTAGTCTTGATAGAAATGAATGTTTGAATCTTGCTTTCTCTTCCCACCCCTGCTTGTCATTGCTGATGTCTTCAAGTCTTCCATGTTCCAATCTTGGAGATTTTAGGGCTTGCTTGCTTTTCTTGAGCTGAAATAGTGAAATAGACTGGATTGTTTGATTGTTGGCTTTTGTGTTGTGTTCTTGCTATAAAGCCATCAGCTTTAAAGTCAATTCAGGTATTCTTCAGGTTGTTGGGTATTAGGGTTGGATTTTGCATGATCCCAGTTTTGCCCTTTGCATTTGTAGGACCATAGAGATTAGGAAGGAAAGGAGATTTTAGTCTTCATTCATTGCATCTGTTTCGGATGTTGATAAACCTGAAGTGATCAAGGGTGAAATGAGGGATGTTATCAAAGTTGATAAATTTCCTGAAGGCGTGTTGGCGGCCATCACATTCGGGCTCTGAAGCTACCGGGCGGCAAGATGGACTTCTCTGGTACAAGGACAGTGGACAGCATCTGGTTGGTGATTTTTCAATGGCCGTTGTACAAGCTAACAATTTGCTTGAAGATCAAAGCCAGATCGAATCCGGTTCTTTGACCTTTCTTGATTCCGGTCCACATGGAACGTTTGTAGGAGTATATGATGGCCATGGAGGCCCAGAAACGTCCCGGTTCATCAATGATCATCTTTTTCAAAATCTCAAGAGTAAGCAAAGTCTTGACCCTTCAATGCTTCGTTTGTTTTCTAGAATTAAAATAACTTACCCTGGAAAATGTTCTTTCACCAAGATAGTAAGTTGTTATATGCATAAGCCTTGACTTGAGGCTGTTGTTATAACAACTTACTATCTTGGTGAAAGAATAATTCTAGACCGAAGGCCATTTCCCACAAAAGTATCACATCCAATTCAGGAAAAAAGAAAAAAGAAATTACCTGCAAACAAACGGAGCCTAAACGAACAGATTTCCTACATGCAGAGACTTTCATTTCATTTTGAAACTTGTTTTTATCCTCTTGAGAACTTTGTTTTGCATCAACATATGGAAACACAGGGTTTGCAACAGAGCAGAAGTCGATGTCGGTGGATGTAATAAAGAAAGCATATCAGGCAACTGAAGACGGGTTCCAATCAATAGTATCCAAACACTGGCCAATGAATCCGCAGATGGCTGCAGTGGGGTCTTGTTGCCTTGTTGGCATTGTCTGCGACGGGACCCTCTATATTGCTAACCTCGGCGACTCGCGAGCTGTCTTGGGGAGGCTTGTGAAGGCAACCGGAGAGGTTGTCGCCATCCAGCTCTCAATTGAGCACAACGCAAGTGTAGAGTCTATCAGACAAGAACTGCGTTCGATGCATCCAGATGATCCGCATGTTGTTGTTCTGAAGCATAATGTTTGGCGGGTCAAGGGTTTGATACAGGTCCGTTGCTATGTTTGTTGTATTAACTTGTTAGACTATAAATTCAAGAAGTGATTATCAATTGCTAAATTTGGCTCCATTTGGTAGCCTCATTATGCTTATCAGTAGAATAAGTAACTTTAAAGCCGACCTTCGAAGGTCCCAAGTCTCGTTTTCTGTCTTTGTTCATAAATGTTTTACTGCGAATGTTGGACATAATGGATTTCCTAACATGTATGCAAATACCTTTTGTGAGGACATTTAGTATAGGAAGTGCTTGGTCTAGTTATTGCATATTTCCTTGCATGATTCTAAACTATTAACTAAGCCGTATTATTATCAGTATTATGAATCATCTCAATTAGTTTGTTATCTTAGTCGTAAGCTTATTTTTGCAGGTTTCAAGATCCATCGGCGATTTCTACCTAAAAAAGGCAGAGTTCAATAGAGAGCCTTTGTACTCCAAATTTCGGTTGAGGGAACATATTAAAAGGCCGATTCTGAGCTCCGAGCCGTCGGTCTCAGTGCATGAACTTGAGCCGCACGATCGGTTTCTCATATTTGCATCTGATGGTCTTTGGGAGCACCTGAGCAATCAAGAGGCAGTTGACATTGTACAGAATGGCCATCAAAATGTAAGACTGTTTCTATCTATGTTGAAAGTAGGGAGTTTATGGTCATAAATCAAACATTGAGTAGTAGTCTCTTTTTTTCGTCGTTGCAGGGGAGTGCGCGAAGGCTGGTGAAAGCTGCACTGCAAGAAGCAGCAAAGAAAAGAGAGATGAGATACTCCGACCTGAAGAAGATCGACCGCGGGGTCCGCAGGCATTTCCACGACGACATCACGGTCGTGGTTTTGTTTATGGACCCGAGCCTTTTGAGCAGAGTCAGCGGTTCGCTAAGAGGCGGTGGGCCCACCTTATCCATGAGGGGCGGCGGCGGTTTCAACCTTCGGGCATAAGAATGATCAGTTGCTGGCCTCGTTTGAAAGAAACCCCCTTTTTTTTCGAGATCACTGTCCTCATATGTAAGATCTCAAACAACTAGCTAGAGAAGTCAGCAAGGCAGCTAATTTTAATTCTTTTGTTGTAAAATGTAATCCTTATTTCTTCTGTTTT